ACATTTATTTCTTCAAGGAATATATTTCAAAGATTTATGAAATTATTTGGTTTATTAAACTCTTCAAATCTTGGATTATTTAGATAATGCAAGCTTGTATATTATTTATGAAAAACCATTTTCAACAAGTCTTAAAGTGATATGTAAAATAATGCATGCGAGTTTGGTATTGAAAATGAAAATTGTATTTCAGAAGTAATTATTCTTCTCGTATGTTTGAAACATGATTTTTTAGAGGACTCTAAACAGAACATTGCTGCTAACAGCAATTTCGTTAGCCCATAGCGCTGTGGTTAAACATTAGCTAGTTTGTTTCGTGAGTTTTAATCTCATGTTTGGTATTCATGGGCTTTGTACTTGCGTTTGATTTCATGGCCTGAGCCGCGTTTGGTTATTTGCCCTTGTGGATTGTGTATCCACGTTTGTTTCGTAGCTTCGACTACGTTTGGTTACTTACTCTCGTGGACTGATGTGTCCACATTTGTTTTCGTGACATAAGCCGTGTTTGGTTATTTACCCTTAAGGACTGTGTGTTCATATTTGTAACCTGTTCTGTTGAGTTCTTAAAATTTTAAATGCTGATTAATATGTGTTTTTGAAATTTACATGGTTTTGACTAACAATTTTACCACTTTGAGTTATATGTGAGTAAATTGTTTTCTTTAAGCATAATAATATAAATTGTTTTCAATTTACTCTTATTTTACAATTATGGGTATGACTTATAAGCTTATAAATTTTTGTGGAATTATTTTTAATTAGTTGACACTATTATTGGAGTTTGTTGATTTAAATTTTAAGAATTTTACCATGAGAATGCTATTTACTGAAAAAATTATTTTGGTATCAGATTTGTTAGCTGACGCTGATTCCACCATCGACCTCTAAAGGACAAACTAGCTATAGTGGGTGGACATTTTTTATTAGTACTGTTGCTTTTAATGTAAATATATAATTTATATGTCTTTTTGATTTAAAAGAAAGAGTAGATGTTCCACATAGGTTGTTGATAAACCTTATTTTTGGTTTGTATATTGGTTGCTGGTTGAAAGGAGCTACGCTCCTGAGTTATACTGTTATCTGTAAAAATTTTTGTTGTAGAATTTTCGAGAGATCCTAGTTACAGGGGAGGTTGTGATGAAATTTCTACAAAATGTTGAAGTCTTCTTATGATAAGTAATATTAAAAATGTTATAAATTATATATAATCTGATTATTATTTTAAAAAAATGAATTGAATTTTTCATGTTAAGGCTTATGGAAATACACAATGTAGTTTTCACCCATGCCGGTCACCCCTCTATTTTCAGGGCGTGACAAAATATGTATATATATGTTGGATTTAAATGATAGAATATTAATGCATATCACCTTTTTTATCTTATATTATCTTGTTTGAAATTTAAAAATTCATTTTTATCATTATACATAATTATTTATTTTTATTTTAAAGATATATTTTTAAAATATATTAATTTAGTCATGACTAGTTGATCTATAGTTCATATCGCAATCCGACTATTGAACCATGAACAAACACCTCCGCTGATTCAATGATCGGTCCATTTTTCTGACATTGATATTTGTACAGTTTACAATTTTTTTTTTTTTAAATAGGTCCAGGTTGATAAAGTTTTGTGAGTATTGAGTTTTATATGTGTAGCTCAATATTTTCAAATATGCAGCCATATATTGATAAAATATAATAATAAAGATTGAATTAAAAATTATTTAAGTTTTATATTATAAAGATCAAATCAAAATAATGTAACATCGTAGAGATTAATAATACAATAATTTTTCAAACAATGAATTCCATTGGTCGTATGCGAATGATGTCAACGTTGCTAGTGTTATATATGTAAACAAAAATAGCATGAGATATCCATAAAAAAAAAGAAAGAAAGAAAAAAAAAAGGATATGTTAACATGCGTACCTTGTATCATCTATTCTAATTTTTGGCATTTTGCAAGAGGTGTCTGGATGTCCTCATCATCTTCATTAAGAGTATGGCAGTCATCTGAATCATTGCTGCAGCTACATCCTTCACCCATTGTTCTTCGCAATGCTTCAACATCTTCTTTACACACCACACGCCACCCACACTTCCTTATTTTTACCTCTCTTCTAACATGAAAAGAAAATTGAAGTTTTCCCTTATCAAAGCATGGAATAAATAATAAAATGAGTAGGCCATGCCAAAGATTCATCATATTGACCCCTCCGCTGTTAGGAATATTTCTACATTTCCAAAATACACACGCTAGACGACCATTTTTAACATGATCAGATGCAAAACAACCTTCTACGGCTGAGCATAGAGCTATTCCACGCCATTTACTTGAAAGGCATTGACCATCTATATCCGCTATAACTGACACATTTGGTTTCCAATCCCAAGCCTCATCATAGAAGTAATTTTGATTGTAAAACCATGATGGCACTTCACTTCCTGGAATATTTAACACGTACGACGATCCTACATTGAAGCTATCCTGTAACATATAATATTAGTATGTGAAAGAAGTGTGATGATTATAATATTCAAGAAACAATCATATAATAAAACTTCCAAGAATATCCAAAATGTAACGTTCTTTTAAATTCATGCTATTTTTAAGCTATATTTTTGTATATATGTTAGTAAAGTATAATGATTATAATGTGTAAGAAACATCCTAATGAAAATCAAACTAACCTTATATTCAAATCGTTCAAAGAATTCCCACAGCTGTTGTGGACCAAGTTTAGGTGTCATTGAAGGACAATCAACTGCAAGTGCAAGACATATACTTGGTGGAAGTCATGGCAATGATTGAAGCCTTGGACAATGACTAAATGAAACACAACAGAGACTTGAAAGATTAGATATAAAGCCACTAGGTTGGTTAACAAAATTGTTTCCACCCAGATTAAGCCCCCCACAACGATGATAATGTATTAAAATCATTAGGAAGGGACTCTTCACAGAGATTAAAATGACTTAAATTTAAGTGTGTTAATGATGATAAACTTGGTAAAGAAGGGGGCATCAATAACCCAGTGGATATTGAAGGCCTTGAAATCCTTAAGAACCAACTGAAAATGGAAGAGAAATTTTGTAAGGATGATTGTTCTTGTCCAGTGCATCTACTAAAAGATAGTATTTTCAAATTGTTCAACTGATAGATTGATGTAGGCACTTCCTTTATAGTAGTTCCACTAGCATCAAGCTTTTTCAAAGCCACATTTTCATTCGAAACCTCTAGAAGACTTGAAAGTTTTGAGCAGCCAAAAAAATTGAGAATTCTAATATACTTCATATATTGAATCACATTGGGAAGGCATACCAGACTTTTGCAATTCCTAAGATTTAAAACATCAAGAGTAGTCAAATTGACTAGTGATTGAGGTAGTTTTGTGATACTAGTCTCTTCCACATCAATTTGGGATAGGCATTTCATGCTTTCCCCAAATTCTGGAAGTCGTTTGATTTTTTTAAAACAACCTGAGTATAAGAATCTTCAGGCATTTCATCTCGAACTTACTTGGTAGAGTTTTAATACTCCTACAACCCTTCAAATTGACTGTGGCAAGATTCTTATATATGGTATCCAAGAGATGAATGTACTTTAATCAGGTTTACACAACCTCCAAAAATGAGTATTTCAAGATCAGGATTTCATCAAAATTAGGTGTTTCAATTAGATATCTTGATGGCTTAAATCAAGGTGCTTAAGCTTTCCTAAAACCTGAAAAATACAAAGATACAAATTAAAAAAAAAATCTTAAATAAGTATCAGTTGTTTCAAAATTACATATAACTATCTTTAATAGAAAGGCGATAGTAATACACCCCATAATGATACTAATGAAGGATGAATTCAAACCCAAGGCATAAAGGGTTTCTTCAGCAAAATTCCATTAAAGGCGATAGGCTTTTTCCATGTGACTTTGGTGGCGACATAGTCTTGACCTTTGCATTTAGACCACATAGGCCTCCTGTGCAATAGTTACGTTATCACAACTCTGACGGCCCACAATGAAACTTACTGATTTGGCTTAATTAAGCGATCTAGGAAAGGTTTCAACCTATTGACAAGACCTTGGATGATCTTAAATCTGAAGAGATGAAAGCATCATGGAGATTCCTTTTCCTTTTCTTTTCATTCCTATCCATTTTGTATCTAGATCCTGACTTGAGATCACTCAGTATTGTACCATTATTATTGCTAGCACTCTCGACATCATTTGTATCTCCCTTTTGATGCTTATTTAAAGACTTGGCTTTCAAAAAGACTCTCCCAAAAATGAAAAGAAAAGTCGGTCTCGCAAATATTTATTAACCCCCATTTTTAAATTTTGGAAGATTTTCCTTACCAACCACCATTATTTGGAAGGTCTTTTATTTATTATTATTTTCAATTTTCCTTTTCTTTTCCAATTTTCACGCATAACCTTGACTCATCTTTTTTTTTTTTTATAATACCCACAAAATACTGTGATCACAAGAAGTTATTTCAGCCTTCTATATGTTGGCAGAATATTGATCATCATCTAGGTACCTACTATCATTAGTTAAATAATGTTGCAAAAGTTTATGGTAATATTTTGCAAAGGGATATGCTATATCACGAATCACGTTGAAATAAAATATTCTCAAAGGAGATTGCACCGAATCAAATGAGTAAGTCATGCTCACAATGTATTATAAAATAAGAAAATATAGAAGATATATAAGAGCAAAAGAAATTACAGAGATGAGAGATGGTGGAGAATTGTTACCCTTTGATGTTGATGCGTGGTACAATGTCATAAGTAATACCCCTATTTATAGACTTTTTATCATTAAAAAATATCTTAAAGGATACAATCTATTAATGATTCAGTGTATATAAAAAATACATCATCAAAAATCCACGCAACCTTAATGAAAGGTCTTCAATTAATGTCTTGGACTCGTGAAGGTAGGATGAAAGTGCATAGCCAAGTCTCTTGGAAGGGTTATGAGATTCATGAAGGCCACAACTAGAGTCATTAATCCAAAGAACTATAGGTTTATAGACATGATTCAAAAAATATGATAATATTTATCAGTTGAAAAGTATAAAAATTTCAAAAAGCCTAATATCATAACAGTTAGAAAATGCTTTTAGCGGAGCTAACCTCAATTGGGCTTGACAATGTTCAAATCTAACTCAGTCAAATAACTATAAATTAAAAAAAAAAAAACGACTAGCCAGTATGTTGAGATCTATTTGAAGTCATTTCCCTGTAAAAGTTGGCAAATCAGCAGCCATCTGCCTGCCATCATAATTCTCCTTTCTCTTTCTTCCTCCATCTGTGAGATTCTCTTTTTGCAGATTCGTGCATTCACGAAGACACAAATGGATGTTGCAGTAATGCTGCAGCTGATAGCCGCTCAGCTGGATTTCTCTGGAAGCATAATTCGAGAAACTCTGCCCTCTGTCGACAAATCTTCTGGTATTTCAGGATCTCGCTTGTTCAAACATACTTCATGGATCACCTGGCACTGCTTACATGAATCTATTTTACTGATATGTTTAACAATTAATTGAAAGATACAATGCATCAGATACATTGTTTCTGCTAATTTCAATATTACTTAAAAAGAGGTATACCCAAAATTCACTCGTCCTCCTCCTATTTAGCCAAGCCACATGCATGAAATCATGTTATCTAATGCAATATTATGTATATATTAGGGTGTTAAAGTGTTTACCCCTTCAAGATCACACCAAGGACGCTTCCCTGTGAACATTTCAATGATTACACAGCCAAGGCTCCATATATCAGCGGCATAAGCTTCACTCAAGCTGCTGTATTCTTGGTTTTGAAGAGTCTACATGAGAAACAAGTTTTATTAACAAATACTTTGCAGCGTATACAATGATATATAGAGTATGAATACACACACACACACACACACACACACCTCTGGAGCTGCATAATGTGGAGTTACCCCCCCAGCGGAGTGATTGCCCACAGATTCGTCTACCTGTTCAACTCATCAGAACAGATATCCTTGCTCACCATAGGGACTATCATATCAATAATTCCGCACAGGGTGTTAAAAAGTGGCAAGCGAGGTGAAAAGTGAAGTGATGTGAGGAGCAGACTTGGATTTGAATGAAGGTTAGGGAGCAAGTAATTTTATTTGGGTGTGAAATAAAGTAATTTTCTTTTCACGTCTCAAATTCCATCTTTCAAGTTCTGGTTTGCTCCTTGAACATATATCATTCATCTTTCAACATGTTGGGGAGAGCAAAAACATTAAAGGGATACGAGTATTTTAGTAATTTCATTAGATAGGGAAAGATATTGAAAATCTACTATGCCAGCTGCTAGTAATACAATTGAAAAAGAGGATGACAAATATCATATTCTTGCAAGCAATTGATTAGTTCAGCAGTTGCAGTAGGAGATATTCAAGTACTTACATGCTTAGCCAAACCAAAGTCAATAAGCTTTACAAAGCCGTGAGAATCAACAAGCATGTTATCGGGTTTGATATCCCTATGTGTAAGCTTAAAAAAAAAAAAAGAAAACAATTAAGACAGAGAAGAGAGAGAAATAATTAAGATTATGCCAACATATATGATTACATGACCATTGGTTGGAACACATAAACACAAGTTTAAAAGAAGAGCTCATTTTAACTTACAGTGACGAAATCAAAAGTAGCTCAACTCCACAATACTTCACTCAGCTTCTTGTCCAAAAAGTATTTTCTTTAAGAGCAAGTTTAAAAGGAAAGCCAAACTCAAAAGACTAATATATTAAGTGTGAGAGATTTTTAAATTTATAAATCACACTTTTCTATGAGGCTCCACGACGTGGAACTAGTAACATTTCTCTTCAGGCACGCGCGTGTGTGTGTGTGTTTTTTTTTTTTTTCCCTTTTTGTGTGAACTCATGCAGCATTGCATATAAGAAGGTGGATGTACCTGTGGACTAGTCTTTTGCCATTTAAGTAAGCCAATGCAGAGAGAATTTGTCCAGTTTCATCTCGAACTAAAGGTTCATGGAAACGAACGCGTCCACGAATGTAATCCGTCAGTGTACCAGTTTCCACGTATTCCATGTATAGATGTATCTGGTTTCCAACCTATTTACGCATAAACCAATTAATTGGACACACACACATGCAAAAGGAATCTATGGCTGTTCCAGAAACAGGTAGTGATCCACAAATAATGGTTTTATTCCTCTCCATAAATCAGGAGATAACTTACTCTTTCACTGCCATAATACTTTACTATGTTTTGATGGTCTAGTTGGCTGAGAATCCTGATTTCCTTGAAAAAAAAAAAAATCTCACTTTAGCCAGGTGGTCTGGTAAGAAACTTAAAGTTGTGGTGTTCTTTAAGTAAGAAAAAATGATACGAATAGTGTGCCACATGTTGATTTATTTTGCCAATGAACTCAATCACATGTTGATCTATTCCAAAGACGCTTGAAAATCTTTAATTTAGTTCTGATTCTTCAATTTTGGAGGATACAGATCCATGGGAAGACGTACCTTTTCTAGAGACCTTTTGCCAGGGTCTTTAAGTGTCTTTACTGCACATGATTCTCTGGTTTCTCTGTCAAAAATGATAAACACAACATATTCCTAATTAAGAAATGAAATTAAGACAATAAGATCAAACTATCAATCTAGTCAGAATTCTGCAAACCTGTTACGGGCAACATGAACAAATGCAAATCCACCATGCCCTATAAGGTGATCCGATATTTCCCATTCGCTAAAATTAAACGTAGAAGAGATTGAATGAGGAACATTATCATAATTCTGTTGGTCAACCAACTCAGTGTTCACAGAAGAAACAGGGCCAATAGGATCCTGTGTTTCCCTTTGGGTAAAGTTGGTTGTAGAAGCGATTGAATTAGCAGCATTATCATAATTTTGTTGATCAACCAACTCAGTGTTCAAGCAAGTGGCTTTGGTGGGGCTGTTATCATCTTGTTCTACTATCCTGCCCTGCTTGATCATTGAAGCAACTATTTCAGAGCAAATTGATTAAAGCATCTTCATTACTCATTAGCATACTCCCTCGTGGGCACCACAATATATAGCGTATTCCATAAGCCTTATTTGATTCAAAATATATAGAATATTAGATAATTTTTATAATTATTTTTTCAATTATACCCCTATTTTATTTATTATTTTTTTTAAAAAAAGATGTATTGAAATTTTAATTATCATTATCAAGGCACTTATATAAAATATTTAATGAGTATATAACTACAAAAATGTAATACTTTTTAAGAGATTAAAGTTTCAACTAAATGTTATTGAAAACCGTGAATTAATTATTAATACCTTATATTATGGTCTAGAGCAAGTATAAGCAACTTTTAACTCAGTTGTACCCTCAATAAGTTAATTAATAGCATTTAAAATTACATATTTTTCTATATTTACTTTTATTTAATAAATTCATTCAATTAATAAAGCATTATTACTTACGACCCTAATTATGGGTTAACAAGGACTTGAGAATTAATGCCACACTCTCTAGTACTCGTAATAATGCCTCATCCTTTTTCTAAACACTCAAATATTGTGCCGCTTTGATTTATTTTCTTTTAAAAAATAATGAAAAATGAAAAATAGCATCATTTAATCATATTTAAATATTAAAATATTTCTAATTGCTTATAAAAAATAGTGACAAGATAACAATTGAAAGGTTAGGGTATTAGAAGAATCATTGAAAAGTTTCGAAACAGTTTGGCGAGGAGAAACACGAGAGTGAAAAAACAGGGCAGTTTGGGGGCGATCACGTTGGTGATCGCAGGGGTGGTAGAGAGAGGGACAAGTGTGGTCAGATGTCCAGTTTGGTTTTCTATAGTGGTGTGGATGAGATTCCTGTAAGTTATAAAGTTAAGGAGAAGGAGAGAGAGGGTTTGGCACGACAACGTCAGATTCCTCCTTCATATAAAGACAAGCTGTTATAGTTGAGTGGATCGGGGTTCTTGATGAAACATGATGAAGAGGAAGACATCGTGCATGGCTGGAAGTCGTGCTTCATGAAGAAACATAGGGATGCTGAGACCACTAAGGAGAAAGCAGGCATGGCGCAAGAAAGGAGGGATATGAAGGTGGCATTAGAAAGAAGCCTGTGTTACAGGTTACGGCTATAATTAATTTTTCTATCCTCCAACATGTTTTTTATCAGCTTAATTGCTTCATAACAATCATCTACTTCCACACTTCTTGTATTATTCAAAGAAGAAAGAAGATTTCTTTGCAATGAAATCAAATCACCCTTTTCATATTCCTCTCTGATATTATGAAGAAAGGAACAAACCTCAAGATCCTTGCACTTCCAATCATGAAAAGCTCCAGCAAGAGTAGTTTTGCCTAAGCCTCCTGTTCCCCATATTCCTAGAGATGGAACTCCTTCTGAAACAGTTGCTATGAGTGATTTCAACTCATCTAATTTTGATTCAATTTCAACTAATGCACCAAGATTAAATGGCGATTCATCATGCAACTTCGACTTCACCTCTTTTGCAATGCTTTCAATGAATTCTGCTTCATGCCTGCATAGGAGAATAAAATGATTGCATGATCTTTGTTATTTGACCTAAAAATAGAATAATCATTTAAGTCAATTGAATTATAAAATTTTATGTTTACCGTGAAACTAAATTTAACTTAGTAGGGATGTGTGGTTGTGCATATATCCCGTGCTGGTTACACCTAATTTTTGAGGCATAACATTACCCTTATTAAATATACACACTTTAATAATATATTTTACCTTGCCAATATTTAATAATGGATAAAAAACTTGTGATAAAAAATGAATGACATTGATTATAAATAAGACAAAATATTCTTCTCCCTCTTCTTATTAATTAATAAGACTAGAAGGAAAAGAGAGAGAGCTTTACAAAATTGCCTCCCCATATAATCTATTTGTCCTTATAGCTATTTTACTAAATTTGAATTAAACTACTAGGTGTCGAAAAAGATGCACCAATAAGGGACACATTGATTTGGGAGACTTGATCAAGTAGGGTAAACATTACATTAATCAATAATGATATTTCAAAATAGAGAGATATCATTAATATTATTAAAATTCAATGTCGTTGAAAGAAAATAATCATTTTAATTGAATTCAATTGGGAAACCTAATGCAGCAACAATCAATACAATTACTAGAAATACAAACCTATTTTACCAAAGCATAGACCTACAAGTCCAAGTCGACCACTAAAATTAATCTTATACTGCATTTTCGTGAAAGCTTTTAAGTAACATAACTCTCGAAAAACGGAAAAAAGAAAAGAAAATAAATAAAGCTTGATGTGGTTATTATAGTTTATTTTAATACCCACACCCTTATTTTTCACCAAAAAAAAAAATAGTGATGATAGTTATTGAGAGAAGTATAGATTACCTATTCCGTGAGTTCCAACCAGATAAGCTAGCAATTTCTTCTAAAACATGCCTCCATCTGTGCACCTTCATTTTGTCTTGTGTAAATCTTTCTTCATGCTTCATGAATGCTTGTCCAAAACTTCCCCTTTGTTTCCTAACATCATACGGATCTACACCATAAAAGATTGGAAATACTTGAAGACCTAACTCTTTTTTCAAATGAAGAATCTTTTGGAGCTCATCCAAACACCATGTTGAAAAAGCATATCCCGAGGAGAGCACAGCAATTGCAGAACGAGATTCTTCAATTGCTTGTAGTAAACTTGTATTGATATATTGTCCCCTTTCAAGTTCTTCTTCATCCCTAAAAGTTCTTAATCCTTTGCGACTTAAAGCACCATATAAATGATCAGTAAAGCTCGTGCGAGTATCTTCACCTCAAAAACTCAAAAACACATCATATTTATGTCTCTTAGTTGATCCATAAGAGCTTGAAAAACACTCAACTCCATTAACATCAAGTGCCATTGCAAGGATTCAGAGTCTGAACGAAAGTACAAAAGTGAAAAATACAAAATCAGAAAGAATATGCACACGCAAACGAACAAAATAGGAACTTCAACAAACAAAGTGTAGCAATGAGAAACGGATACTACTGAAGGCGAAAGAAAGTGAACAAACTTTTGTAAATATCCCATCACAAATTTTCCCGTCTATTTGAGTTCGAAAGCAAAACAGACACACAAAGTCCCAGGACACCAATCGGCAGATAAACTAATTCACTGAAGAAAACAAGATGACGGAAACTGAATGATTCACTCTTACCGCAAGACTCATTCACTCTTGAGGCATAAATTAAACGGAAGCAGAATCTATGTAAATATTCAATCTCATTGACGTTGGATGTTTAATTCAAAGCGAAATCTCAGAGATCCAAACCATTCAGTTCACAGAAGAAATCTAGAACGGAGCAAGGAAGAAAGTAGAAACCTGAAGGATGAAGTAATATGAAAAGATCTGATCGATCTTGAAACTGATAATAATTCTCTCAAGTCTCAACAAGCCGTCACGAGATCAACTGGAAGGCCAAGTGCCCAAGTCTTCTCTCAAGTCGTCACGCGTTCTCATTCAAACCGTGTTACGGACAACAGGGTTCACTTTTGCAGAATGAAAGGCACAGAACCATGTGACGATGCTTTTCATTTCTTTATGGTGTCTCACTGTTTTTTCACCTTTTTTTTTTTTTAACCTTTGCCGTTATCGTTAATGCATTATTTTAATTTCTTTTTAATGGTGAATCCGTAGCACCACCCTTCTTCTATTTTTATTGTTCAACTTAAAACATATTCTTCAATATTTATTTAAATTCATGTGTCACATATCTCCACTAAAACCGATAATTTGGCAAGCCTGGAAAATACTAAAGTCAGATTTGGAAGTTTAAAAAAAATATTATTTTAAAATTATTCAAAATCTAAAATACAATATCTCAACATATCTTCAAAAATTTGAATCATTCTCTTAAACTGACCACCGATGAGCCAAAACTTCTTTAAATGACTTCGAAAATCAGGAAGAAGTAAATAAATTGAGGATCTCTAAGAGAAATTATAGAAGTGCAATCAAAGTAGTGTCCGACATCATGCATGTACACTATTTGAATGGTCATCTACAAAGTCAAAGCAACGTGTTTCTTAAGTCTCCTTACTTTTCAATATATTTAATTTTGCTCTCATGCACCTTATTAATAAATTGATTATTTGCTCATTATACATTAATTAGGATTAGTTTAATTTGCAATTGGTTGAAGTACTCTAGTTAACTACAATTATTGAAAAGAAATTTACAAAAAATCACAACAAATTAACCATGGTACTTTGACTCATTATGCAAGACTTTAAAAAGAAAATGATTTTTTATCCAAGTAAATTACAATTAAAAATTCAAAGAACGTACAACTTAACATTTATACGGCTTTTATTTGTAATTTCTAGCACCATTATTTAATTATTGTGTTTTAGAAGAATCATGTTCAAAGACCTCTCAAGAGAATTATTCACAAATAAAAATTAATACAAAATTATTTGTTATTAAAATGGTAACAGAGGCTTGTTTTTTTTTCCTTCAAATGGTGACTTATAATTAGTCTTTGTCTGCAAATAATTTTCTTGAGAATAATGATTTCATGGAATAGATCTGAAAAAACAGAGAGCAAAGTAGGAAATAGGAACCTAAAGGATGAAACAAATAATGTTGAAGACAAGTGTTTAGTCTTCAGTCTCTGGTATATGCAAAATCTATGAGCTGGTGTGTGTGTGTTTCTATATAAAGATCCAAGGCGTAAGATTCAGTCCAAGTCGTCGAAGTCAGTCCAATCTGAATTGCCATCCAGCTGTGTCTTACTCTATATAATATTTTGTTGGTAAATGTCTTTATATGACATTTTAATATCAAAATGTTGGCACTAAAGAACAAGGAAAGACTAAATATTTTAATAAAATCTCGAGACTCGGAACTTTTTTTTTCCAATTATTCAGACCTCACACTAATACGTTATTTTATTCCTTTTAACGGGGCATCCCAGCAACTCTTTTATATTTGTAGTGTTTAGTTCAAGGTTTTTAAGGAAATTCAAGGTCATGTGCAAGTGTATGGTTACTGCCATGCCTAGCTATTATATTTCTATATATAAGATATTTTTAATCGAACTCTATATTTTAATAAAAAAATTTTAGTTGAAATCACATTAAAGTACAATAATTTTCTAATTTTAACCCTAATAATGTTAATTAATATCATGCTGGTAGTGGGTGAAGCACATAATTAATATATTTTTTTTTAAGATAAGAGCAAAATTGTCTAATTATTAAAAAATATCATGATATCTCTTATATTTAAGGATGAAATAAACTTTTAGGGACAAAGCTATTGTCCAAAAAGTCTTAAATGAGATTGATAAGCATAGTAGTGCCTTCTTCAGTTCTTCTGATGAGACCGAGAAACTTCACATCCTCTCTTGGGAAAAAGTCTGATGAACGTTCAAGAATTAAGAGCCTCCGCCAGCAGAATGAGGCATACAATATGACTTAAAGAGAAGTATAAATAACTTCCAAGCTACAAATATTACAACATACAGCAACATAATTATGGCTAGCTTACATATATGATAAATCAAATGAATGAGTTTAAAAGTTTTAAATTTGTACATTCACCATTTACAATTTTTTTTTAAATAGGTACCTGTTGATAAAGTTTCATGAGGATTTGTTGGTTTTTATAAGTATAGATAAATATTTTTCACACATGTAGCAATACATTGACAAAACATAATAACAAATATTAAATAAAAAATTATTTGAATTTTATATTATAAAGATCGATTCAAAATTATAATACAAATTTTCGAACAGCGTAACAAATGTCATTGGGCTTGGATCTTATGCCTTCAACCATTGTTCTTTTCTATGAGATTATTTTTTTAAATATATATATATATATATATATATATAATGTAAGAGGTAATTGGACTGCGAATATAATGATGTTAATGTTGCTGGTACTATATAATAAAAGAAGCATGAGATATCCATAAGCAAGAAAAATTTAAAAAAATAAATAAATAATGATGACGTGCCTACCAGTACCTTGAATCGTTAATTCCAATTTTCCGCGTTTTGCAAGGGGTGGTGTTTAAATGTGCACATCATTTTCGTCTATTCTATCATATGTGTGCGTGTGTGCTAACAAAGAAAAAAGATATAAACTACATATATTTTTATCAATTTATTGCAAAAAAGAAGAAGAAATATTTATCTTTTTAGTTAAAAGTAATATTAACAATTAATCGATAAAGATAATAATACTTGTAGTTATATTCGTTGACTTTTTTTTTTGCTAAATTGTATAAGAGCATTCTTATGAAGATCGGAAGATATAATTATAAAATTGAGCAATTGCATGAATATAAATTTATTTTTTATTAATGTATGCATAATATTAACTTATTATGCTTATCAAAAAATAAGTTATGTTTAATTTACCTATGTTAGACTTAATATTTTTTTGAGAGTTTTGTTGTCTCAAAATATATTGATTTATTTTTGTACTATTGCGATGTGAAGTAGATTCATCTGAATCATTTTTTTTCAAATTATATATATCCAATGACATAAAAAAAATATAATTTTTTGACCAAAACATATAAAAATATACTGAAAATCTAAACTTTAATTAGTAATTGATTTATTTTAATAAACTCAATTTTCATTTAATTATTTATATTAATATGGTAAAATGAAATTTACAACAAAAATTAATCATAAAAAACTTAAATTGTCAATATGTATGTTTTAACTTTTAAATTTAATGTCGTAAACAAAAAATAAACCTAAAAAAAAACAATTCCAGCCAGATACGTCCTCACACAGTTCTGAAGGCAAAACAAAATGGAATTAAATTTGACCCAAGAATTAGAAAACTAAATAAGAGAAATTTCGGCGGGGTGCGAATAGATGATTTGACAGATCTAAACAAAAAAACAATGAGTTCAATGAATAGATCTAAAAAAACCTGAAGGATGAAATAATAATGTTGAGGCCAGGCCTGCTGTTCAGTCTTCAGTCTCTTGTATTTGCAAAATCTATGAGTGGTGTGTTTTTCTTTCTTTCTATATGAAGCTCCAAGGCGTAAGATTCGGTCCCAAGTCGTCGAAGTCAGTCCAATCTGAATTGCCATCCAGCTGTGTACTCTATATAATTTTTTTTTGGTGAAATGTCTTTATATGACATTTTAATGTAAAAATGTTGACACCACAGAACAAGGAAAGACGAAATATGTTAATAAAATCTTGAGGCTTGGAGCTTTTGTCCAATTATTCAGACCTCACACTAATACGTTGTTTTAAATCTTTTTAACGGGGCATCCCAGCAACTCCCTTTCCCTTCTATTTTGATTGTTTAATTTAGAACACATTCTTCTATATGATGGACCCTCCTCTCAATAAATTTTCTCGGACAATTCGATCTATTTCCTCCTCTCACGGTTTTTAAGGAAATTCAAGGTCACATGCATGCATATGGTGATTCAAAGTGAAACATAAATGGGATTGAAGTTTTGTCCCGTGTCTTGTCCAATCTTACTCTAACGTGAGACCTGAATGGGACCGAGACGTCTTGATAAAGCAGACAAAACATGAAAATGATCTAGATAATAATATTTTTTAAAAAAATTATATAATTTATTTAAGTTCAAAATCAAAACAGCCCGAGTATATAAATTCAATTATTGAGTTATAACAGTAATTTAAAGTGAAAGAACACAATCATACCAACCACAATTTAAAGTAAAGTACACAATAACCATAAATAACATCCAAGCTTCAAATATTATAACAACATAATTATTGAATTACATAATTTAAATGAGCAAATGATTATGTAAATAAGATAAAAATAAATATACACAAAATATATACTTTGACTCTAGCTAAATAAATAATATATTAAATATTAATAAAATAAAATAAAAATATAATAATATATTTGGGACGGGATGAGATATCCCAAAAGGTGATCCCATGTTTATAACATATTTGTGTCCTTTTCTGCAAAATCTTATCTTGACATGATTAGGATGGGGACAAGTATTAACACTCTTAGTAAATTCTCTATTTGTTCTGCCTACTCTTTTTTAAATGAAGGTTTCTCTTGTGCAAGCACTTTCAACTGTAAATTCATCTGGCGCCTACAAATCCCTAAGAAAATGAAAATGCTTATGATGCAGTTCACACTGCACAATTGAGACCGCGAAGAGGCCTCTGTTAATTCAAAATAAATGTAACATTTAATTCATTCAAAAAATCTTATTAATTATGCTTAAGTGAAATATAATAAAGTAAGGATATAATTGAAAAAAAAATATACATATATAACCTATCGAAAATTTTGTATTTTAGACGAAGTAGGATTTATAAAAAAAATTCTTTATATTGTGATATAGAGAGCAAAAGGAATTTAATTATGTAATTTATTCAAGGTCACATGCGCATAGTAATGGAAGCCACGGTGGAGGTTGGGCGACAGTGCTTCAGGCTCCATGACCTTGATTGGTGGATTTTCTTTTTAAAAAATTAAATAAACAGTATTTTAATCATTTTTAAGAAAAAATAATTTCAATTTATTTCCTTAATCCTGCAATATTATTTTAGATTTCATTAATTTTAATTTCAAATAAAATTCCTACATGATTCCTTACTGACATTCCCCCATAAAAAAAGTAGGAAATAGATCTGTGATGAGTCTAATACGTCAATAAATTTGGAGGGCACCAAAATTTGCCCATTTCTGCCCTTAACATTATATGCCTACCTGTGGGAACTAATCCTCTCAGCAACTCATGTCTTAGTGTCTTAAAATCCTCCCCGTTTAAATAATCAGTAGACTCATAATATAAACTAGTTACATCATAAGGCTTTAAAATGGGAGAATGACAGTAAAGTTTTAAAAGAAGAAATTAATGAGAACTAAATTCTCAACAAAATTTTTGAAAAATGAGTTGTAAATATTAATGGGAATTTCAATTACAAACTAAAAATTACATTTAGAATTTATATCTCTTAGGCACTTCTGAATTTGAAATTATTTGAATTAATATTTGCAATTTATTTGTCAAAAAAAATTATCATAGATGTAACTATCATTAGTTCCCTCTTTTAGTCTTTACTTAACTATCATTTTCCTTTTAAAAATCTCTATGAACTGTGTATAGTCTATTTTTAAAATTTCAGTGCTATTGTTTTTAATTTATTATATTTTGAAAAATCATATGGTACTGCAGTTAAAAAAGTATGAGACACACAATAAAAACAGTAATAGATACCTAGGAGCACTTGGTTCGACTAGTTGAGGGAGTTGAATTAATTTATTTTAAAATCTTAAGTTCAAGTCATGATATGTGCAATCACATTAAATAAAAATGTCAAGAGTATTCCCAAGGTACTTGTAAGGCTGCCATTAGTAACAACAGTCCCATAAAACATACCCTTAGATTTTTTAGGACACTATTTAACAATGACTTAGACAGTGAGTTTACAGCATTGCATTTGTATCATATCCTTGAGGGGTTTGGTTCATGGAAACTTTCGGAGAACAGGATCCATGTCAAGGGCTTTTGAAGAAGCTGATTGGGGACACACTTGCGAACATATCTATAATATGAGATCAAGAGGAGAGTTTATTGGCGGCTGATTTCACTATCCGGTTTTGGTAAATCTTCTATTTCATCTCTTACCCCGTTTCTTTTCTCAATTATGGCTTCCCATCATCTGATTTATTTTCTTCTTTGATCTTCAATGTAATATTTACTACATGCCGTATATGGGAAAATTCAATTTCCAAGCCTTTGACAGCAACTATTTATAAAATATTTAGTGATGTAACGGGAAATTTTAAATTTTTTTTCGTATACTCATTTAGTCTCATTTTGAGGACAGACGGAGAGGATATTTGTTTTGGTTCTATTTCTAAGGCACCTCAATTATTATTGTATCCATATTTAGCTTTTTGTCCCTATTAAATGTTAGAAAGGTTATTAAATGTTAGAATATTTTATGCAATAAGAGTAAAGTTAAAAACATGTTAAATTCTTAGACTAATAAGGTTAAAAGATTTTCTTTGATTCTGGTAAAAATAGTGTAAATGACTTATAAATCAGATCTCATATATAAGTAAACATTAGGAGATTGATAATGAGAAAAATCCTTCTTTGATCAGCACTTAGTTGTTTTGAGATTCTACTTGTTTCCTTTTTTAACTACAGTCCATTTCCCCCTTTTTTACCACCCGTTCGTTGCTTATTTCGGTTGTGTTTTGCATTGTTATGCTTATTGTACTCTGTGTTTTAATTTGGTATTCCCCTGTTTGTGAGCGTGAGAAGCAAAATTAATACCTTTTGTATTAGGTTAGGGTTTGAAATTTGCAAATTTGACTGCTCTGACGACTGTTTCAATTTTCAACAGTTTTTAGAAATTTTTGTTGTATTTTTCATATTTAATTTTTCTTTATTTGGTTCTTGAGCTTCTTTGTTGATATGCGATGACTTGGAATGCTAGATTATCCTTATTCTAAGCTCAAACAAATTACAGTGTTTTATAACTACAAAAGAAAATTAACTCAATGAGATCCGCGATGTTTTATTTTTTTTTTAAATCTGAAACAGTAAGAATGTATATTAGCTGCATTTGTGTTTTGGACTTTTTTTTTTCCCGTTTGGCCCAAGTTTCTCCTTCTACTGCTGCTTTGTGTCTTCTCTGTTAAGGATATGTGTGATTGTATTTTGTTCATTTAATATTATAAGACATTTTTAATTGAATCACATCATTTATAATGAATTAGTTAATAATCTTTAAAATCACACACTCTTTTCACGTTTACCTTTATTTAATTAGGTGTCTCAATTAGAAAATATTATTAATTATACCTCATTAATTACACCTCAAAAAACCCATAATGCTTTATATTTTTGAATATCACTTTAAAAAAATGTTTTATATGCACTAAATCACACTGAGTGTAATGAGAAGTTAATCCTCAAATTCACCTTAAAAATAAGCTTCAATGGAAAGAACCAACTAAAACAACCTTTCAATCACAAAGCAGCCGCCTTGCGAAGAGAAACCTGCTAGTGGGGAGAAAAACCTTTATAGTTGACTATTATGATCAGCGAATTTTCAGTTAAACTGTACATGATAAACAAAAATAAAAATGCTTCAATTATAGTTACATTTGAATGCATAGAACTTTCTTAATTCTTATATATGAAAAAAATGAGATTAAAGTTTTATATTTTGTACAGTTTACAAATTTTTTTAAATAGATCCATATATTGATAAAGTTTTACGAGTATTTGTTAAGTTTGTAAGTATAACTAGCAAAATATTTTCACACATGTAACAATATATTGACAAATATAATAATAAAGATTGATTTAATTAATTATTTAAATTTTATGTTGTAAACATCAAATCAAAAATATGTGACATTGTAGCGATTAATAATACAATAATTTTTCGAAGAACTAATGCCATTGGTCATATGAAAATGATGCAAATGTTGCTGATGTTATATATGCAACAACAAAAAAACATGAGATATCCGTAAAAAAGGAACAATTCAAAGAAAGAAAGAAAGAAAGAAAGAAAGAAGAAGAAGAAGAAGAAGAAGAAGAAGAAGAAGATAATGTTAATGTACGTACCACCTTGAGTGATTTATTCCAAATTTTGGCAAATCTGCTGTTACATATTGTTACACAATACACGCCACCCGCACTTCCTTATTTTAAACTTTGATGTCTTAGTTACCAAAAATACCATTTGAAGTTGGTTTGCAGCCAAAGAGGAACAACAAGCATAGATAACACAGAGTTGATGGCTACAATTTGTTTGTATAGACAAACGATAGCCACAGTCAATCTCTTGAAATTTTTTATTAGGCAATATTCTATAAGTCCAAACATCATCAACCATATTCTCAGGGTGCTCCAAGTCAAGGTGTGAGGATGCCAAATCGTTTTCTAACGCTAAGCATGTGGCTATGCCCCACCATTCACTTGAATGACAATCTTCAGGTTTGCTTGCTATGGATGACACATTTGGATAATTGATTTCTTTCTCACAAAAATATTTTTGATTATATATGAAACCAGGGTGGCACTTCACTACCTTGAATTGTCAATACAAGACTATATTGCTTGAAGAAATCAGGTTGTGATTAAAAAAAATTGTTTGAATAAGAAGTATAATAATAAAATATAAGAAATTGAAAATATATACAAGTCAAATATATAGAGATTCATTGTCCAGGGAAAAAAAAGAAAAAAAAAGAAATTCAAGTAATTCAAAAAATAAAAAATGCTCACAATTTGTAATCTTGTGTAAGGATTCCATACTCCTGAAATAAAATGACAGGTTTTATGTTCTTCATAACAAGCTATAAAGCCGTTGCTGAAATTGATAACCTATACATAATAAAAAATTGGCTATGAAGAAATATAATGATTAATGTGAAAGAACAAGTAAAGATAAACAAAATAAACCTTAGATTGGAATGATTCAATGAACTCCCATAGTTTCTACTAACACAATGCTCCATTGATGGACAACCACTTGCGATGATAGATTTGACAGAAGTTGGGGCAAGGACCGAAGCGTAGAGCAATTAAAGAGATCAAAAAATAGAAGAAAGATTGGAAATGAGGCGAGATGGTAAGTCAATGAAATTGTTTCCACTTAAAATTAAATGTGTAAATGATGATAACATGCTTATGTCATCTGGAAGTGATCCATCATTAAGTTTGCAATAACCTAAATTTAATTGGCTCAAGAATGATAAAGAATGGGGCAACATAAAATTTTTTGACCTTAAAGGCCTTTGAAACCCAAATGACTTCTTCAGAAGGGACATGCAACTCCATGATGATGAAGAATGTGCTTGACTATTGTATTCACAAAGTGATGGTGCCTTTTTAGAAATTTCACTCATATCAAGCACTTCCAAAGCCCCATTTTCATTCAAGTCGTCTTGCATCCTTGAAAACGTTGAACAACCAAATTTTTTGATAATCTTCCTGGCTATCAATTTACAAACAAGCATAGAGAGATATTTCATTGCCTTTCCAAACTCAGGAGGTTTTATAATTTTTGAACAACTAGATAGAACAAAATTCTTTAAGCGATCCATCTCAAATTTTCTTGGAAGGGTTATAACTTTTTTGCATTTCAAATTAACAACAACAAGATTCTTATGTTGCCCAAGAGACTGGTGAACTTCAACCAGTTTAGAACACCCTTCTAGAATCAATATCTCAAGATTAGGAATTTAATCAAAACCTGGAGTTTTGATGAGGTATTTGGAATGAGATAAATCAATGGACTTCAGCCTTGGTGGAGACTAAAAAGAAAACAAAAAGAAAATAATAAGTCCTAAAATATGACAAACTAGTTATAATAATAAATTTATTAAATTAAGGACAAACAATTTAAATGAATGGATCATAATTACCTGTGCTCCCCTCCAAAGTTCTTTTAACTTGCTATGTTGCATTTTTAGAACAACAAGTTCATGGAGTTGAGTTTGATTGGGCAAAGAATCTAAAGGATGCCCATCCCCTCCTAAGACTTTCAGCCCATTGGGAAGGGACTTAATTCCATGCGAAAGATTCAATTGACAATGAGAAATATGTGAGCAGCTTGAAATGTCAAGTAATTTGAGATTGCTCATCTTTGAGAAGGCTTCAGGATGCCAAAGTTCATCAAATGTTTTTCTAAATGTTATAGCTATACCCCAAACAAAGAGTGTATGTATAGTCACAAAAACTTAAGGGTGTTACCTTATTTCCTTCTAATACATCATTGGCATCCTTAAAAGACAATATCCTAGAATGCTTGCTAGCATCATCAGGTGATTCTTGAGAGACAATATATTTCCCATATCTTGAAGTATATGATACACCCACAAACATCCTTCTGAATCAATTACTAGTGATTTGTCAATAAGAACATCTATTCCACTTGTTGGGTGAAGATCCTCATCCAATATTTCTAAATTTTTTATAAGAGGGCCTTTGGCCGTCCCATCAAAAAAGCAAGCAATATCCAAGAATATAGTCTTTTCCATATGATCTAATTCATAAAAACTTACCTTAAGTATCTTCAGAATGTTATTTGGAGGAACCTTCTTCAACTTAGCAAGTGCATCCTTCCATTTCTCTATAGTTCTTCAACAAAGAAAAGAACCCAACACTTTGAGTGCCAAAGGACGGCTGCTAGCATATAGAACTGTTAACCACAGTTCTGGAAAGCTCCCGAAAATCTTCACTTGGCTTACTTCCTTTAAAGGCATTTGATGGAAAAATTCAAGGGATTCATCACTAGTCAAGAATTTGATATCATACTAAGTAGATACACCATGTGATAATAATAACAAATGCTTGTCTCTAGTTGTTATTATTATAAAGCTCCTTTACCAAACCATCTTTGATTTCCTGCCAAATTTTCAAGTTGACTTATGTCACTCACATCATCAAGGACGGGAAGAATTTTCCTATTGCTTAACATGCTGTTTATCAACTTCCTTCCTTCGTAATAGTCATCCACATCCATGCTTCTTTTATACAAAGAGAAAGAAGTTTTTTTCGCAAGGAAACTAAACCTTCTGCTTCATGTACCTCTCTAACATTAAGAAGAAAGCAATGAACTTCAAACTCTTTGAACATTGTCTCATAGAAAGCTTTTGCAAGAGTAGTTTTACCTAAGCTACCTGTGACCCATATTCCTATAAATATAATTGGAACCTCACCCAATCCGTTATCTATAAGTGAATTTAAGTCTGCAAGTTCATTCAATTCCAATAATCTCTCAAAGTCAAATGGAAGTCCATCATATATTTTTTACCATACTTTTTCAATAACAGTTTCAACGAGTTTTGCTTCATGCCTACAAAGGAATATAAAGTATGATATCTTTAACGTCAAGTCAATTGAATTTTAACTTTTATATAAATAAAATGGTTAACATGATATAAAGAAAAGATGGTCACATGGGTAAAATTAATTGTTAGTTCAACTACGTAACATAAGTTAACCTTCACATGCATACTTTTTCGTAGTTTTTAAAATTATTGTAATGCAATATTAAATGGCTTGGATGCATAACTTTGGTTCCTAATTGTTTAGGTGATCATGTGTTACTAAATTGCTTCCCCATAATTTTCTTACTGGCATTAACGTTCTTTTGCAATCATGAGTTGGATTTAAAAAGGACTCAGTATTCAAAACATGCACCTCAATTCTGAAGTGAATGGTGATTCGCATGGAGTATGATGAGGTGAGTCAATTTAATCATGATTAGTAGATAATTTGACTTTTCATAGATTTTGTATTTGAATTTATATAATGGAAAACATTTTTTTAATCTCTAGAGTAATCGTCAATATTGGTCGAGGTTAATGTATAGTTTTTATGAAGAAGAAATCAATCTACAAAATTATAGTCAGTTTTGGTCAAATTAAATCTCCATTGTCATCAAACATTGTTGCTACATGTTAGTGACATGTGATCTTAGAGACATTGACCGAAGTTAGCCATAACTTCGAATATTTATTTCTTAATTAATGAAAAAAACTAAAGGGTCTTAAAGAAAATCCAAAACTCTAGAAACAAAAAACTATGTTTCCCCCCGTATATGTGATCATATTAGAATAGCTAACAACAATTTTAAGTAGTTTAATGTAATTAATATCCACACCCTTAATATTTTTTTTATAATTACACACAAACGAAATAAGCATGAAAGGAAATATTCTTCATATCCACACCCTTAAAATTATTAAAAAAATATACATGATACATATTGGAAGTTCAAGAAAGAAATTACCAACTATCAGAGTGCCAACCAGATAAGTTAGCAACTTCTTCCAAAGCATCCCTCCAATTATGCACCTTTATCTTGATTGTGAATTTCTTCATGCTTTTTTAATGCTTCTGCAAAACTTCCTCTCTGATGTCGAACATCAGATAGATCCATACCATAAAGATTGGAAATACATGAAAATCCAACTATTTCTTAAAATGAATAATCTTTAATAGCTCATCCAAGCACCAGGTCGAAGAAGCATAATTTGGAGAGAGAACAACAATTGCAGAAAGAGATTCTTCAATTACTGGACTAATAGTGTGTTTAGTAAAACTTTCAGAGAAAGAAAAAGAACCTTGAACTTAAATCAGAAGTTAAAACAAAAAGGGAATCCTGGATTTTACTTTTCCTCCTAATTATCAACAACCAAGTCATTGACTCAATAGCCAGCATCTCATCTATAGGCAAATGAAAAAATAAGCAGTGACTTACCAGCCACAATCGATAATGAAGATGAAGATGGCCAATGCAGCAAGAGAGTGCCGATGATGGCCGGCAGAGCAAGGGAGTGGCCACTAATGGCAGGCAGAGCAAGAGAGCGAATGGTCAATGGAGTAAGAGCATTGAACAAATATTGGAGAAGAGAACCTAAATGGAATAAAAAATAATAAACGGCTGAGATTAACACGCAATGGACAGCCTAGATTTTTTCTTCTTTTAAAGGAAATGTTGTGCACGCGCAATGAGCACCTTCGTGTGCTGAGCATTGAAGATGAACCCGATTATAAAGATGCAAATATGGAGACGACGAAAGTAGAAGGAGAGATCAATCTTCCAAGTTTTAGAACTTCCCCTTGATTCCCATGATACCCTTGACATTCTGCAAATTTCTCTCATATATCTACATGATAGAGCAAGCATTCGGGTTTTCATCGCTGAATATCTGGTGGAGTGGGTAAGGGTTCATCTCTATGGTGTAAGAAGGGTAGAAATAATATGTGTTCACTGTCATCTCCACCACCTTCGCCTCTTCCGTCACCACTTCTTCCTCCGCTTTTTGCTGCCACAGCCTCCCCCTCTCCAGCTTCTTTCTCCTTCTCCTCCTTCTCTTCTCCTTTTCCTTCTTACCTCTCTCTTCTCTCTCTGCCCCCTTCCTCTACTTTCTCCTCTCCTCCCTTCTTTCCTTCCTCTGCTTTCTCTTTCTTCTCTGTCACCTCTTGCTTCACTATCACAGCTTGCTTCCCTGTTCGCTTCCACATGAACTCCACCAATTTCGCTGGATCAAACACTCCCTTCACGCTCACCTCTGACTTCTTCAGATCCAGCTCCGCCGATCCCACCCCTACAAATTATTTTCACCCTATTAGAATGCAAACCTTTTGTTTCACATGCCTCTCTGACATTAAGAGAAAGCAATGAACTTCAAAGTCTTTGGTACTTTTGCTCATAAAAAGTTCTTGCAAGAGTAGTTTTACCTGAACCACCTGCGCCCCATAATCCTATAAATCGAACTTCATCCAATCCATCTTCTAAAAGTGAATTAAAGTTGGCATGTTTTGATCCAATTCCAACTAATCTCTGAGAGTCAAATGGAAGTTTATCATATATTTTTGACCTCATTTTTTTCAATAACATCTTCAATGAGTTTTGTTTTCACGAGACCTGCAAAGGAAAATAAAGTAATGCCTTTAACATTAAGTCAATTGAATTTAATTTATATAAACTAGAATAGTTAATGTGATATAAAGAAAACATGTCACAAGGGTAACATTTTTAGTTCAACTACGTAACATAAGTTAACCTTGACATACATTTATCATGATTTTTAAAATTATTGTAATGCAGTTTGTGATAGAAACAGAAAAATAATATTATTGACAGCCTTATTTTTAAACTTACTATTTTTTTCCTCTTATTTGTTTTATGACAGGACCTATATCAATTATGAAAGCTACACTTTGTAAGGAGTTTGAGCTGAGTCAATTCAACCATAATTCATACATAATTTGACTTTTCATATAGATTTTTATTCAAATTTTTATAAGGGGAGAACATTTTTTTTTCTCTAGAGTTTGGTCAATATAAGTCTAGGTGTTACTATAGTTTTTTTATTATTATTAAGAATTCAATCTATAAAATTATAGTCAAGTTTGGTCAAAATCTCTATTGTCATCAAACACCGTTGGGTACATAAGGACATGTTATCTCCCACCAAAGTTAACTATAAGACCTATTCTTAAGTGATGAAAAAAACTTTAGAATCTTAATTTAAGACCAAAAAACTCTAGGAATAAAAAAATGTTGTCCCTTTATATATAATCATATTATAATATAGGTAACAACAATTTTTAAATATTTTTAAGTAATTAAATCCATAACCTCAATTAATATTCATTTTTTTATAATTACGAAAAATATGAAGTACACAATTAAAATGAAAGGAAATAGTCTTCATATCCGCACCCTTAATATTATTTTAACAAAGTATTCATGATAATTGTAGAAGTTCAGAAATTACCAATTGTTAGAGTCCCAGCCAGATAAGTTAGCAAACTTCTTCCAAGAATCCCTCCAACTTTTCACCTTCATCTTGTCTTGGGGAAGTTTTTCTTCCTGCTTTTAAATACTTCTGCAAAACTTCCCTTTGATGTCGAACATCAGACGGATCCACACCATAAAAGATTGGAAATACATGAAGACTGACTCTTTCTTAAACATGAAGAATCGTTGAGAGCTCATCCAAGCACCAGGTTGAAGAAGCATAATTGGAGGAGAAAACAATATTGCAGAAAGTGATTCTTTAATTGCTTGGAGCAGACTTGGTTTAATAACTTGTCCCCTCTCAAGTTCTCATTCATCCCTTAAAGCTATGATTCCCTTCCGTTGTAAAGTACATTACAAATGATCTGTAAAGCTTCTACGAGTGTCTTCTCCTCGAAAACTCAAGAACACATGATACTTCCATCTTCTAGCCAAACTGAAGAGCTTGAAGGGTAGTCAACTCGATGAGCTTCAAGTGCCATAACAGTTTGAAGCTGCACCACGCAAATTACGACAAATACATTCATCAACATCAGGATGTGTATGATAGACAGAAACTTTAACAAATAATGTGGCAATCAATCAGAAAGTATTAGGGTGAAACTAATTTATGTACGACAATCTTTTGCCTGTAATGGTATTACAAACAATACTTCATACAGCGATGCTGTCTCGGTTAGTAGGGAAGCAATGCAGAAAGAAATGAGTATTGGGAAGTGAAGAATGACACATTTTACACGAAGTTATCAAACAAAGACTAGAAATTGGTTGCAGCCGCTTATTTGCACATATTTCATATTATATCTATATATATATATATATATCTGTTGCTGTTTCAAGCTTGAATTGCTTTTATAATCAATATTTTTTTCTTTTTCTTTATTCTAGCCTTCAATTCAGACTCATTTGGTTGGCAGCTTAAACAAGCACTTCTTTGAGAGGCATACCTCTCACCCAGAATTCATTAATCATATTATATGCTGCGTGTGTGTGGTAACAAGAAAAAAGCATATATGTTTTATTAAGTTATTGAAATATTATCTTTGTTAGACTCACAACTTTTTCAGACTTTTACTGTCTCAAAAATACATTGATTTATCTTTTAA